TTTTAATGTGAGAGTTACCTAGAGTATATCCTGTAAATAATTTTTATTTCATTTCTGTTCTGTAGAATTTTCTCTTTCGTTCATTTGGTTGTTGCTAATAGTCTTTATAGCCTTTTGGCCCCGTTTTCGCTTACATTTTTGCTGTGTCCTTTAGTTACTTAAGTTTCCAGTTCTCTTTGTGGCTGTAGTTTATTCCACAATATTTTTTAGCGTGTGTTTAGTTCTGAGTCTTCTTTTCTTAGCAAATATTCCTATTGCCTCGTTGTCTCACGACCTCATTGTAATTAGGTTTTTTAAATTTCCTGTTTTTTAGTTTATTTAGGCAGTTATGATTTGATCTCTTAGGCTTGGATGTAAGAGATCAATCTCAAGATAATTTATTTCTTGTGCACATGTTTTTACAGCTAGCAGTTCAAAGATAGTTGCGGTGAAGCCAAAGACCACGAGGTGCTCAAACTTAGCAAACTTTATGCCCATGCCCATACCATTTTCCATCTTTGAGCTGTTCGTATACGATAATTTTGTTTTTCTTTTTTTCAATAAACACTTTTTTCAGTAATTATTTGAACGGTTTTTCAAAGTTGCAAGTCATATTGCAAAGGATTGAATACGCGTTTCATTGCGGCTATGGGTGTTGCTTTAATAGTATCACTGATGCTAAGGAATGTGATTCTTTGAGTTTTTTCTAGAATTTACTCCACCTTTCTTTCTTCTATTTCTAGCCACCATATTTAACTTGCATAAGTGATCATGAGTCTCATAATCGTAAGGTATGACCAACATATGATCAACATTTTAGGATTTACTTTTCAGTTTCACAGGGTCTTTGGCATACCCATTGTGTCTTTAGGTTCTGCCATAGGTTTTCTTAAGATCAGCAGTTAATTTTTGGTATGGAACTATTCCTAGGTTAGTAACTTCTTTGGATTGTCTTGTTTATTGGTTGTGCAGGGTTGGAACATTATATGATGATAAACGCTAAGAATAAACTGGACTGACAATAAAGAATCGTACTTAAAAAAATTTGAGGTTTGTTCTTTCGGATTATGTACCTGTCTTAGTTGGTTTAAAGTCCCACAAAATAACACATTGGTCAAGTATTATATCTTTCGAATGATGTTATTCGAGGTTAACGGAAAAAATTACTATTTAAGCACCTTTAAGATGTTTATTATTTATTTCATGTGTTCTGTTTCTATGACTAGCAGTTCGGCATGAAAAATGGTTGTGGTGGAGCCAGAGTCAAAGGCATTGTACAATAATGCTATTAAAAACTACTATAACATTTTCCCAATATGTTCCATTTTTATTTTGAAACAAGTTCTACAGGAGTGCATTAACAATTTTGTTTTACAAGAAAAGGTCATGGGTCGCGTTCGGATTAACACACATGTTTTGTTATGGAATGAATCTGGTCATGGTTCATAGAGCCGAGGGCTCCAGGTTTAATTTTTCCAACGAGCCAATTTTGGAATGGCACTTGTTAGAAGTTTTCTTTCCATGCGATGAATTCTTAGTTTTTTGTATGTATAGGATGATGCTATGGCATGCAATTCTTTAGATTTTAATTGCAATTTTTTCTGCCTTCTTTGTACTACTTTTGACCATCTTAACCGGCTCGCATAAGTGATCATGACCATAAGATCATTTAGTTCTGCGCAGAGTCTTTGGCATACCCACTGTGCCCTTAAATAGCCACGGTAATCATTGGTCAAAACTTCCCCTGGAATGTCATTACTTTGGAATGCTTTATTCTTTGATTTCATAGGGTTAGAGTTGTAAGATTGATCTTTTTTCCCGGTGAATGATTCAATTGCTGCCTTTGAAGGGTTTGTAATAAGACCTTTTCATGGGACCATTTTAATGTTTTATTTAATGCTTTTTGCAAGTTCGACCAGAGACTGATTGCTAATCAAAATAAAACAACTATAGAAAATGTAAAAACATTTAAAAATTCTTAAAAATAGTAACGATTCTCATTATACAATAATGCTATTAAAAACTACTATAACATTTTCCCAATATGTTTCATTTTTGTTTTGAAACAAATTCTACAGGGGTGCATTATCAATTTTGTTTTCCAAGAAAAGGTCATGGGTCGGGTTCGGATTAACACACAACATAACATTTGATTTTAATTAGAATATGGCTGTTTTAGGGCGTGGGTTGTTTTTTGTACTGTCAAAGGTAGGTTGTTAATTATACTTATTAAGTTTGACTAATGTATCCGTAGATGCTGAAAGTTGTAACCTAATATTTTAGCAAGGATAAAGCATCATAAATCAATTTCACGGATTTTTGTTATATTTTATTTCTTACATATAGTTCGCCTCTGTGAACAGAAGGGTGAAAGGAGGGTGCAAGTCGTCCGAGATATGTGTCACGCTGAACCCCTCGTCGTAGTGCACCCTCGGGCAACTTTGCGTTTTAAATATGATTAAAGAGTAACAAGGGAAGCTACTTACATGTTGCGGCCCGACACGCTAATACATGACAACTGTCACATTAGCCGCCTCCGGCTAATTCGACCCCGGGCCTTTTCAATACAACGAATCACTATTTTCTCATTCGTCCAAATCGCTGGAATCCCTCGTTTGAATCAATACCGAAATAAACTCGGTTCCAGATTCACCTCGCACTTACTACTTCGGCATAATTACAAACCATACAAATTTTCGACTCAAAATTAATTTTACGTTAAAACGTAAACTATCCGAAGCCTACCACAAAAATGTCATTCAATTTTATCTGTATTTACAGTATGGTTTTATTTGTTTAGGATAGAAAATACAACTTTATGAATGTAATAGTTATTAAAAAATATGTAGTGACCTAAAATTTTGACGTTAAATCTACACCTTTCATTTTAGCGCAAGAAATGTAGCTCAACAAACTTTCCGACATGATCATTCTATAGCGTGACAGAATCGTTGATAATAAGGTTATTTCTACTAGATAGACAGGATTTGTTCAACTTCAATTGAATCTTAACTACTTTCTCTGATGTTGGGTTTACTAATCCAAATTTTCTGAAACATAAAATACACTGTCTTTCTATTTATGCTACATAACTAATTTATCAAAAGTCACGAAAATGTTGTACCATAGTTGATGGTATTACCGATTATGTACGAAACACAGTGACCTTATTCAAGAAAGATTTAATCCAGAAGAAAATCTTTGTTTCAATCCGCGGGAAGCTTAACAAAAATTAAATTTATACTTATTCAGAAATCGGGAGATGCGGTCTGGTGTAATGTAGGTTTCAGAAAAACAGTTTCTTTATCTGCCAACGTTTCGATCTTTATTGAGATCATCTTCAGAGCCTGGGATTTACAAACATTGTTTACATTTAACAAATACATAAATAAATGTAAACAATGTTTGTAAATCCCAGGCCCTGAAGATGATCTCAATAAAGATCGAAACGTTGACACGATAAAGAAAATGTTTTTCTCAAACTTACATCACACCAGACCGCATCTCACGATTTCTAAATAAATTTCATTTTTGTACTTATTTGTACAATAAGGTCAGTAATATTGATATACGATTTATTGAAATCAACCACCAAAAAACCTTATGTTTTTACCTAACTAATTCAATGCACTATTTACATCCTGCCAAAAATAGTTTTTTCTTACAAAAGCCCAAACAAAACTTTTGTGAGAGTTTTTCTTGAGATCTGTGAGGCGATTAGTTTGTAATTTGGTCGGTTCCTATCGTTCTGACACTTAGCCTCCTTGACTGACAGGTACAAAAGTACCGAACAAAAACAACTGACAATAGCACACAGACCAACTACTCAAGTGGTGCAGTAACGAATTTTTTTCGGTAAAAGATTTGAAAAAAAAAATGAATGAACGAAAACGATCAACTACACGTATTTTCAAAAATTCCATAATATTCTACCAGTACCATTATAAACTTAGTATCGGCAACATATATAGGCATTTTTTTAAACCAGTAACAATTACTTAATAAATAATATTCTTTTGGTACATAAATAAATGTAAACAATGTTTGTAAATCCCAGGTCCTGAAGATGATCTCAATAAAGATCGAAACGTTGGCACGATAAAGAAAATGTTTTTCTCAAACCTACATCACACCAGACCGCATCTCACGATTTCTGAATAATTATCGATTAACGGTCACTAATCACCACACATTTGACCTTGATGTTGACAAACTTTGCAAATATGTCCCCTTATATGTGTGTAATGGGTATAGTTATTGTTACTTTGAAAGATTACATCTTCATTACTAACGTACATATTGCTTTGTAAGTATTCTACAATAAATTATTTATTACAAAATTATTTATAACATGTATAAATTTACATACACACAAATTATATTTTGCAAGTGAGGTGTAATCTAATTGGGAAGATTGTTTGTTATTCGGTTGTTATGTTGGTAGTCAATGGAAATATAAACAGCATTATCATAACCTGACATTTTCTATTTCTCATAGAAATGAGATGGCCATGATTTGCCTGACAAGGAAAGCGTGAAAATCTTCCACTTCCAATAATTGCCTCAGACAGATATTTCCTTGGATTAAGGCGTGTACGTGCACCGTTCAATTATTTACGAATATTAGTCAGCTTACACTACTGTTACAAATACATGTAGGATGTGGAAAAAAGTGAATTTATTCAATGCAAAATATATATATTTTTTAATATTTAATCAAAGTATTTCTACACACTCAAGTGTTTGTCTTCTGTGTAATTGTGCCATTCTTGCGTCTCGTGTTGAGAGTGCCTGTGCGATATTGCAGTTTTATGTTTATATATGTTGGATTTTGAAGGGGTGGGGAAGGAAGTCGGTATAGGAAAGACATTTTTGTATAAGGAGTCAGCTTCTTTGAGGTGAAAAGAGCCGACGAAGGGAAAAAACGTTGGTAATGGTTCGGCCAGATTATCCTTATCTAATTACCACAAATTAAATTTATATCTTCCTCTGAAAGCTTACAGTTTTCACTTTTGTTTCAGATCGTCTGGTATCAAGACAGCTTTCTCCTCGAACCGACAGAAAGGAAGACGATGGAGACGAGAGGCAACAAGCACACCCTCACACTACGGAATGTCCAGGCTAGTGACTTCGGGAACTACAGCTGTGTTGCGGAAAACTCTCTTGGAAGAGCTAAAAAATACATGGAACTTTCAGGTTATTAACTTATAAGTTTGGAAAAAAAGAATTGTATTTTCATATTTTTAAAGGTTTAGCCTTTTTAAGAATTTTGCTTATTTAATGTTAAAACATTTTATATTCTAACCTTCTAACGATAATCCTGGATAATGGTTTCAGTATGCGGTCAAAATTGGTCAAATTTTGCTCAAATATCTCACTTCAGTACAGAGCAAAAGGTCTTCTTTTCGGTTATCCATCGAAGAACAAACACCCCGACAAAGTGCAAATTAATTGCATATGACGCGAAGCATCCTTTGGTTTCAATCAAGGCTGTACATTATGTCAAAACATAAATGACAAATCGTATTAGAAGAAAGGGTAGATGAAAGGGTTATTGTTCCCCTGGGGGTGCGACGAGGGGTCTGGGGTCCTGAATCCTATTGATATGGACATTTGATTATGGATTGATTAGAGACCAGGCGTTTGTGCAGAGCATCCTTTAAGCCCTGTAGGAGGTCAGATCCAAGACCACCCTCCGCAAATTAATACAATCCGCGCCGACGATTATCGCGAGTGATGAAATGTTATATTAGCTTTCACATCGACACTATAGATAAATATGAAGAGAGTTAACATTTAAAAAATTAAAAAAATTATAATTCAAACCTTATTTAACCTTAAATTGTTAAAACATAATAGTTTATTCCTGTGTGATTCGGCTGTACTTGCTGGTTCAGATTATAGCTTCGTCTTCCTCGATAACATTGATTTTATTCTTTAAATTCACTAATTTCGTGGTCCGCTTGACCAATTAAATCATTACAATTAATTAAGGTTGAAAAATGGCAAAAAGGAGGGAAAACTCATAAGGTGGGGTTGAGATAGGAAGTTGATGTCCGAGTGGATCGAGGTCACGATAGCTCAAGTGGTAGAGCAGCGGCGTATCTAGCCGAAGATCGTTGGTTCGAATCCCGCTCGTGCTATTAACTTTTTTTCATCTCAACTAAAAACCTTAATTAATTGTATTGATTTTATTTGTCAGATTCGCAGCATCCAAACTGACTACTGAATAGACAAACTGTAAATCTTGGATTAACTAGCAAACGTTTAAAAAACTAAGCTTCTTTCATCTTTCAAAGTTAGAAAATATCTATTTTTGACGCATCACTTCTAGACGTCTAATAGGAGACAACAATGAACGGAACCTTCATTAGCTTCCAAGGCAGGCCGTCACGAAAGCTCATGAAAGACCAAACCAGCAAAAATAGACAAACAAAAAGGTGAATTTTAACAGTAATCCATATATATTTCGTGGTCAACAGGCCTTGGTTGAGATGAAAAAGTTAGTGTCATAAGCGGGATTCGTACCCGCGACCAAAGGTCAAACAGGAGCTTAGATTAATTTTAATTACGTGAATTTTTAGTTTTCACAATGTAACTAAAGCATATATAACCGCAAGCAGCTATTTTTAACGAATGTGACTACAACTATGATTAGCTGGTCGTTGGTAGCTCATAATTATTTTTTTTTTTTTATTTATTAGGTTTCGTGGTCCGCTTGACCAAATAAATTCTTTTCAATTCTTCTTATTATTATTTTTATCTCAACCAAAACCTTAATTAATTGAAAAATATTATTAATTTTCAACTTTAAACTCTATACCTTGTATTCAATTCCTTAAATTCACTAATTTCGTGGAGAAATGGAGAATCCAAACCGATTACACGACATTTGAAAAATGGCAAAAGGAGGGAAAACTCATAAGGTGGGGTTGAGATGGGGAGTTGATGTCCGAGTGGATCGAGGTCACGATAGCTCAGGTGGTAGAGCAGCGGCGTATCTAGCCGAAGGTCGTGGGTTCGAATCCCTCTCGTGCCATTAATTTTTTTTCATCTCAACTAAAAACCTTAATTAATTGTAATCTATACCTTGTGTTCAAATCTGCAACTATAGTGGTTGAAGTTCAAAACTACAACTTTAGCAATGGGAGTTGTAAGCTACATTTATCGGGGTTGTAGTTTGAAGTGCCGAAACGCGTTTGCGTAATCCAAAAAACCCGCGAGTGGAGACAGCTAATAATAATTTTGCATTTAACATAGCAAACACATTTTCGGGCCAATTAAAAGAAATCCAGTGCCGGTTCAACGTGAGTATAGCAGTTGGAGGTTAAAATTATTTAAATATTGAATTATTATTCAATTAGCAGTTTGAAAAGAATAACTATAGCGGTTGTTGTTCAAAACTACAACTATATAGGTTTGAGTTCAGAACAACAACTGTAACGTCAAAACTGCATCTGTTTCAAAACTATAACTATAGCCGTGGAAGTTTAAAACTTATTTTAGGTTGCGACCAAACCTAGCAGTTGTAGTAGACTTTTCTAATATAATACAATACCACAGCAGATGTTCCCAACTTTACTCAGCTGAGTTGAATCAGACTGCGGATCTTTAACATCCGGACATACATCGTTGGAGGCTTTTTATTTTTTAGCTCTCTACTATCTTTTAACTCACTTTGAAAGATATAAAAACCACTAAAGCCACTGTCTCTTCGGTTCCAGTTGATCCGTACTCTCCAGTTCAAGTACAAGTTGTTCTCAAACCACGAATCGAGCCACTTAAGGTGTGCCAAACTTCCACTTCCTTGATTCAGACTTATTTTTAGGTAGGATTGATCCCCTTATTTCTTGCAACCGTACTGTTTGTGCAGGGTTGAGGGTTACCCTTACCGAAGCAGGGATGATAGAAAACGAAGTAAGAAAAGATAGAAAGGAGTAAAGACCCTTTACTGCTTCTCTCTAACCGCTTAAGTTGATGGAAGGGCTCGTCGATAATGTATTGCATATGATTGCCATAGCAGTTGTAGTTTGAAACTAAATTTGCAGAAGTAAGAAAATTAATTAGAACAGACAGGAAACGATTAAACTACAGGTTAAAGTCTCAGTACTCCGACCTCAACCAAAATTTCAGAAATGTAATTACAATCTTCCGTACAAACATTGTAATTACAAGTCATCATGCAATATTATTGCACATTAATGAAGGTATTTCTCAATTTTAAGTGAATAAATAATAATCGTATGAGTTTGACATTTGAATAGTAAGTTATCAAAAATTAATTTCTTGTTCGTTTTATTCCAGCGTCAGCCATTTTTAGCCTCAAATTGTGCTTTAATTATTAGACCTTATTGGGTAGTTTCGTCGACGAAAATAATTGACTGGCATAAGCCGGAAAATTCGATTTTTTCCGATACCATTAGGCTGTAGATTTTATCGGATACTTGTGAATATTTCACTCGTGAAATTCCGCTGTCGTTTGGTGCCGACTTTGAAATATAGACCCGGCCTGTTTGCTTCCACCACCCTCAAAGATTTGCTCCTGAGTTAATATTGTATGTATACTTTTCTACACCGATGTGCGTGGCTTGTGTTAATATTTCACCAAGCCCATATCTACTTTATCTTGGGTCGAGGAGCGAACTCGAACCTGTCGAATCGATACAAATTGGAAATTATTAATTTCAGTTATGTACCCAACCTGTAGCCCAAATTTTTATATTTTTAATTTATGTGTTTCTAATATGAACACGTTATATATCTTTTAAATACAATGACAAACAAAAAATTCCACCCAACTGATTTTTTTTTCTTTCTTTTTCTAGATAAAAGAAACTTCTGCCCTTAATTTGTTGCATTGTTTTTATCAATAAATATGTGTTTATGCTGTTTCAAATTTGGAATATCAACTGGACTAAAACACACTTAATCCATAATAAGGATAAAGGATTTTTCAATGTTTGCTTTTTATTTAAAATGTTTATTTAGTCTCATTTGAATTCTGAAGCAATAAAGTGTTTAGTATCTTAATTTTTTCAATTTCAATTTTTAAACATAAAAATGTCATTTAATGCTGAGGATGTTGCGCGTGGTGTGGCACTTATTGATGATGGTCGTCCATCACGTATGTCTATTTCCATCAAAGTTCCCTACGAAACTCTGCGAGACGCCGTTAGACATGTTCGACGTTTTCGAGAAACTGGATCTTACCATAGAAAGTCCGGTTCCAGACGCCCTAGGGTAACAGAACCACAGAATGACCTTTTCGACTTTGAGAATTTTGTGAAACCGGCACCTTACTGTTGTTCAAGCGATTCTTCAGCTCCAGTAAGTTCGAGGTGTCCAAATTTCTGAACGCACTGCTCGAAAAAGATTATGTCAGAATGGAACGATGGCTTTTTGCCCCTTATGAGGACCAGAATTGTCCACAACACACGGTGTTTCACGGCTCGCATTCGTTCGAGAACAAAGCCATTGCTCTTTGGACGATTTGTCTGCTGTACTATTTATAGATGAGTGTAGATTTCCTCCACGATCTCCAGATGGTCGTGAATGAGCGAAGGCAAAATGAAAGGTACGAAGGTCTGAATTTTTACCAGAGCTAACCTCTTCGACGTAGCTCAGTGATGGTGTGGGCGGGAATTTCAATAGAGAGTCGCCCAGAGTTGGTTGTTGTTCGTGGAGGGTCTTTGACAGCCACTCGCTATGTGGATGAATTTTTGGAAAATCACGCGTTCCCTACCCTTATATGCATAACATCAGAGTCTTAGCCTGGCCAGCCCGTTTTCCAGACTTGAACCCCATCGAACATTTATGGGATAACCTCAAGTGACGGATAAGAGCACGTCCATCACTTTCTCATACACTCCACGATCTTGAAAAAACTCTTCGTGAAGAATGAGCTAACCTCCAGCAAAGAGATATTTTCGGACTGGTAGAAAGTATGCCGGGGCAGCTTCAAGATGTAATTAAGGCAAGAGGAGGAAATACGCGATATTGAAATGTTAATTAAAAATCTAAAACAAAATTAAAACAAATTTTATCTGTCCGTCTTTTTTTAATTTTTATTTTACTTTTCATTTTCCTAAGCAATTTTTTTTAGATTTTAGACAAAGACTCAATTATTAACGTTAAAAAACGTGAAACTTTGATGAATATATAAAAATATATACAAATCAAGTTATATTGTAAATGAACGGAATTTTGTGCCTGTCAGTGTAAAGTGAACCAGCTACACATAAACTCTGAATTATCAAAATTTCCAAGTATTAATAATAATTAGGTATCCCTATTAATATATAAATAACGGATAATATAGTAATAATAAATAATAATAATCGTAGGCGGGAAGCCTTTTTGTGTGGAGAACACGACCTGTTGATGGCCACTCGAGAACCTACGAAAACTTCGGCTAAAGCCCGCGCAGGTGCTCTTATGCAGAGGTTGCTATGACTCCCACATAATAAAAGCTTGTCATGCAGCTCCTGGGCATCTAGCATACGGGGTAGGTGAATTCCTCTTGATAGACCCGAGGGTCAGCCAATCGGGAATGACAACCCTTCTGGGTGGAAATGCAATAGTGATCGTAGAATTGTATACATAGTATATTTCTTGACTGTATTTGGTTACAACCATAGAAAAATGTCTGGTAGCCGCTTCTACGTATTTTAGGCATTTGATAAGTTACATGTTTACCAATGTAAGGATAAAGTATTAATTTGTGACACCTTAAACATTAAAACCATTTTTATTCATTCACAATTTCTTTCTATCCATAACAGATAATGTACCCCTTTTCCTTGGGAATCTTGGAAATGCTGAAAAATAAAAATATCTGGAAATCGGTCTAGTTTTTGTAAGATAATTTGAATTATTAAGATAATTTTCACCCGCGAAATCTCGGCCGGGATTGAGGATGCTGCGTTGTTCTGTGAAGTTTTACATAGTTTCAAAAGTTGGATACTTTCTAAAGTTTTCATGAAACTTTATTATTTTTAAAGAAAATAACGTCAATTCAACTTACGGTCTTATTCATTTTTTTGAAAAACTTCAAAATCTATAGCATTTTTCAGTCAAATGAAACTTTTTTTCAATCAAATGAAACCTCTTTCCAAGCAAATGAAACGTTTTTCCAAGCAAATGAAACTTTTTTCAAAGCAAATGAAACCTTTTTCCAAGCAAATGAAACCTTTTTCCAAGCAAATGAAACCTTTTTTCAAGCAAATGAAACCTTTTTTCAACCAAATGAAACTTTTTTCCAAGCAAATGAAACCTTTTTCAACCAAATGAAACTTTTTTCAATCAAATGAAACCTTTTCCAAGCAAATGAAAACTTTTTACAAGCATTTGATTGAAAAAAAAGTTTCACTTGGTTGGAAAAAAGTTTCAATTGACTGAAAAATGCTATAAAAAGATGGTTCCTACTCACAGTAAGTTGTGTCGTAATATTCCGGATTTCGAGCCCTTTAACTCATCATCAGGTTGAAGGGCATTTTCGCGTTGGCGGGGGTATCAGCGGGTTCACTTTTGCAATTCATGTCGGGAGACGTGTTTGTAGAAACCCTTCAACCTGATGATGAGTTAAAGGGCTCGGAAATCCGGAATGTTGCGAAACAACTTACTGTGAGTAGGAATCATGTTTTTAAAAAGGTGTGGTGATTAGTGACCGTTAATCGATAATTATTCAGAAATCGTGAGATGCGGTCTGGTGTGATGTAGGTTTCAGGAAAACATTTTCTTTATCGTGCCAACGTTTCAATCTTTCTTGAGATCATCTTCAGGGCTCAAAGTGTTTGTCTTCTGTGTAATTGTGCCATTCTTGCGTGTCGTGTTGAGAGTGCCCTTTTTGAAAAGGATTGAACTCCACCCCACTCCATCATTTATAATTTCTATCACAAAAAGTTGTTGCTCGCTTCTTTTCTATCCCAATTAATTAAACTTCGATAATATTCAGTGATCATAAAAATTATTGTTAGTACTATAATGTCATTTATTTATTCCTCTACATAATTATTATCATTAGGTTTTAGGTTTCATTTGGTTGAAAAAAAGGTTTCATTTGATTGGAAAAATAGTTTCATTTCCTTGAAAAAAGGTTTCATTTGATTGGAAAACAGTTTCATTTGGTTGAAAAAAGGTTTCATTTGCTTGGAAAAAGGTTTCATTTTGTTGAAAAAAGGTTTCATTTGGTTGAAAAAAGGTTTCATTTGCTTGGAAAAAGGTTTCATTTGCTTGGAAAGCTTGGAAAAAGGTTTCATTTGATTGAAAAAAGGTTTCATTTGATTAGAAAAAATTTCATTTGATTGAAAAAAGGTTTCATTTGATTGAAAAAAGGTTTCATTTGATTGAAAAAAGTTTCATTTGACTGAAAAATGGTATATATATTTTGTGTTTTATTATTTAAAATAATTATTAAATTTTTTCTGATTCTATAGGTCGTCCTAGCCCGGCACAATTCCGGTCGGCACCTTTCAGCCGTGCCAAAGACAGCTACAACTTGACATGGATGGTCGAAAGCTACCCACCACTGGAGGAAGTGAGATTGCTCTACAGGAAAATAATGGTAAGGGTTCTTGTATTAATTATTCTTGATAAAAGCTTTTAATGAATTTCTGAAAACTGACTTGAGATTGTAAAACTGCCGAATAATTTTTACACGAATAAACGCATAATTGATTAAAAACAATCTCCTCGTCATTTACAAACTCGGAACAGAGATTGGAGTTGACATGGATAAAATCTACAGTGTTCTGAGAGGGAAATACACGGACCGGCCCCAATGAATTATTCATAAGACTTTCTGCCGCACTTTCCACATCCGGCAGTATGTACAAAAACAACGGGGGTTTCCGTCGAGGGCCAATAATTAAAATGCGGATTTTAGTACTTGGACCAATTTTCTTTTGAAGACCGCATCAATTGCTTGGTATGGCACGTGCCGCGCCATGCCGCGCCGGTCGTCTGCTCCAATTCCAATACAATTCGAACCGGGGATGTAATTAAAAATTTGCCCAAGGGGGAAAGTGAATAAACACAATAAATCTGAATTTGATTGAAAGCAGCTGGGATTGCTCGTTTTATAAACATAAAGCGTTGGAAGCAACATTTGATGAGCTGTCAATGGCAATTCAATCAAAATCTAGCATATATGGATACCACAGTTTGACCACCTATAATTAAACAACCGGGGTGCCCCAAGGTTTAGTCCTTGTGCTTCTCAATTCTTTACGCTTTACTATACAGTTAGCAATACATTGATGTTACAGCTTTTTAATATATTTTTCCTTCAGCGATTTATAACCATAATTTATCAGTAGCTTAGAAACTAACTATGGCTAATGTGGAATGTTATGTCCACGTACAAGGAGAGGTATGTAAGAGCTTTTGGACTGACATACCATTGCCTCAGATATGGAGATGGAGTACTCGACATCCATTCATCGGCTATACACGTGCTAGTGTTCACGCTAGTAAATACATTCACTATCATCACACGCTAGGTTCAAAAAACTATCATTACTTTGTACAATGAAACAAACCTGTTTCCTCCAAGAATCGGAAAGTGGACCTAGATATTCACTGCTGTGCTCAGGAACAATTCATCATTCACACATCGACTGACATTCCTACGCGCTCCCTATATAGAGCCTTTGCAACCTTCAAAAGTCTCCGTGTTTCAATCTCGCATGGCCCACCCTTAAATGATAGTGATAATGATGATGGATACTTAGGAATTGGGGGGGTTTGTTCCTCAAGCACTGCAGCCTCCTGGCTTATTGTACTTTCCTAGTTCCTTAGTCAAATCGATCGACTCAATCCTTCTCTTAAAGGGTACTAGGTCATTGGCTATCGTTGGTGCAAATCCTTTCCCTTAGTGTTCTTTGTATCCCAGATGATGCCTCCATTGATCGGTTTCTTAACATTCGAAGTCAAACGGTGTTTTATTAGATGCCAATGACCGGTAAAAGTCTTACCACTCATCTGAGTTTAACACCTTCTAACTGTGCCAGTCTTTATGAGGGTTTTTTTATCCTACGCTTACTATATCGAACATCCATAGAGTTTATCCACTTTTACTTTTGCCTTTTTTCGATCTAATCTGTGATGGAGGCTTTTGTGTGGCTTAATCGGATGAGGATAATCCTTCCTCTGTGAATCAGATTGCCATTGACATTGCTATTGATGAGAAACGAATGACTAAATTTGTTTCTATATATAATTTGTAAAATAACTAAATAACTGCGACCTTGAAAAAACAAGTCGTAACCGAAGAAAACGATGGCTTCAATGTTACAATTTACAAAATTTCAGTTTACATAATTCATAATAATAAAAAATAAATTTTAAAGTGCATAAATATAAATATATAAATGGAGGGAATGAGTAAACGCTGTATGTAAATTTGTCGTAAATGAAGTACATTTTTAATCTGGGAGCATTGACAAAGGTAGAAAACTATGTTATGTTTAAAGCAATATCAGCAGTAAAACAGTCGTGTACGAGTACATTGCAGACAGCAGGCTCGGACTTGGTAGAACATAACGCGTTATATACAACCCTGTTCTCTCCACCTAACTAAAAAATATGCTCCATTCACCAGTTCTTTTTCCCCCGTCCGACTGCTCGTCTTTTATTTTTTATTATTTTCCGCTCCCGGCCGGCGCTGTCTCCCAAATCGTAAACCGGGAATGTTTAGGGGGGTTGATATGAAAAAGGGCCGTTTCATCGAGAAGAGGGCCGTTTTTAAGAGTAGTTTTATTTCATTTGACGCCATGTCCTTAGGTTTCTGGTAAAGAAGATATTCGGGTTTTAATGAAAAATTCAAGAATGTGATTGTTATTGTGTTTTTTGTTTGTTTTAAATTCAATCTTTTTCCTCCAGATGAACGATACACATCAGAAACACGGCAAGTGGCACGAAGTGATCCTCCATCCGCAAAACGGCGAAACATTCTCACACCTCATGTCGTACAACATCCGTGGATTGGAAGCGGCCTCAGTCTTCGAGGCCATCGCTCAGGCGAAGAACAGATACGGATGGAACGAAGTCTCGGACCTGTACCAGTTCTACACCCGCGGATCCGGTGAGGAAATATACGGTACATGACTATTAACATCATACCAATTCATACTTTGCTTTGAATTTATTTTCAGTAACGAGCAGACAATATTTTTTCCTTTTCATCCTCCTATAACCCTCCATGATATTCGAGCTGTTTTCTTGAATTTTTCTACATGATCGGCTCAAGTCTAATCTGATTAATTATACTAAACTATAGCCGAGTTTATGTTTACGGCAGATTCATTGGATTTCCCGACCCGTCCAATAGCAAAGCTCATTAAAACTATCGCCACTTAGCGAAAAGTTTATTAATTCATATAACATTATTTGACTATATTCTATCCATTTAAAAGAAAACATTACTGAAATAAATTAATTCTACATAAAAAGTGACTGGCCAATGTGATACTTTTTATTACTAATACTAATAACGAATTTTGTAATAAATATCAAAGCTCTCTTGTTTAGGCGACGTGCTTATTTTTATACAAAAAATTTACTTTGATCAAAAATTCTTTGTAGCAAGATTCAAATGACAAGTTGATTTTTTTAAGCATCGGTTGATAACGAGATAGACGAAGCCTTGGCAAAATAAAATCTTTTTCATTTTAGCTCTCGAATTACTTTTGAATAAAAGGAATTTATTTTTCTTCTCGACGATTTTTTCAACAGTTCTTATATGAATTTAATGTTCAAGAAACGAGGTAACTGTAACGATTCCCTTTCAATTGATTTCTTTTACAAAATAATTGACCAGAAAACTTTTAAACATAGTTGATGATTTCAGCAAACAGCTTCTATTTCTTAATTTCGTTCAAACTTTTCTTTATTTTTTATCGTTTGTATGTAACTATCCTTATTAGAACTTCCTTATTTCTTAATACGTTTGGAACAGTTTTGACGTGTGTGCATGTTGAAAGAAGTTTGACTTGTAGAAACTTTGACTAAAGTTTCTTTTGAAAAATTAGTCGGTTGACATAAATACTTTGTACGTTCTTAGAATTAACATGTTCAGTAGAATTATTGTTAGAGCAATACTAAATTAATATAGATTTGGTTAAAATGTGAAAATAACAAACATTATACCAGAATATCACAAAAAATTTTCACAACTATGAGTAATAATTTTTAATACATAATCATAATACGTATCTTTTTTTTCTTAGTTTTACCAAGAATTACTTTGGTTTTGTACTAAATTTAAGTGAATAACTTTACGCTACCATTAAAGATAACAACAAATTATTATAACTTGATAATGTTTGGAGATTTCTATCTTAGATACCTTTAATAATAATTTAATTTCAGATTTTTATTTAGAATTTAGAAATGAGTTTTCTCCCAATAAATTTTTGTTTCTTTGTTTACTTTCTTTTTTATTAAACCAGGGTGGGAGTTTCAAAGAGTTTCACCTGTGTGCTTTCTCTTCTCCACCTTTGTAAGGCGCGTCTATGTTTTATTCATCGGGCATCGAAGACAAAGCCGCGGAAGATAAACACGTGTGTCGGACACGTGTTACACCCTCCCAATTCGGTCAGAAAACGAGGAAAAGAAACAAGGAAAACAGCCTGATTTACATCTTGAACGATTAAAAAACAACCTTCACAGTTTTGGATGAGTTGGATTTTTTTGCGGAGAACAAATGGGCAACAGTCAAAGTTTTCCCATGGAAAGAATTATAACGTTTTTGTTCTTTTTCGTTTTCATCAGTGCCCAATTTTAAAAACGTAAATATAAAAACATTGAGCTGAAAAGAAAATAACTTTAAAAATTTATTTGTAAGTGAGCTAATGGGGGAAAAAGCAAGATCATGATATTAGAGTGTGCAATTTTTACGACGATGTCTTAATACTGAAACGTATAATAATAAATTACTAATTATTTAGAAATCGTGAGATGCGGTCTGGTGTGATGTAGGTTTCAGATAAACATTTTCTTTATCGTGCCAACGTTTCGATCTTTATTGAGATCATCTTCAGGGCCTGGGATTTACAAAACATTGTTTACATTATACATATATATATTTTTATATTTAATCAAAGTATTTCTACTCACTCAAGCGTTTGTCTTCTGTGTAATTGTGCCATTCTTGCGTGTCGTGTCGAGAGTGCCAGTGAGATTTTGCTGTTTTATGTTTATATATGTTTGGTGTTGAAGGGGTGGGGAAGGAAGTCGGTATAGAAAAGACATTTTTGTATAAGGCGTCGGCTTCATTGAGGTGAAAAGAGCCGACGAAGGGAAAAAATGTGTTGGTAATGGTTTGGTCAGATTATCCTCTCAGGATTATACAGAAATTTTGTAAATCCCAGGCCCTGAAGATGATCTCAATAAAGATCGAAACGTTGGCACGATAAAGGAAATGTTTTTCTGAAAACTACATCACACCAGACCGCATCTCACGATTTCTAAATAAATATCGATTAACGGTGACTAATCACCACACATAAATTACTATCAGAAACAGATTATTTAATAAACTTTAGACTGCAATATTGATAAAAGAAATTTTACATCTTTTTATGCCCTTTTATTCATTGTTGGCTCGTTCACCTATCCAGTTTTTCATCACTTCTTTACAATTCATTTTAAAAAAATATTTCACTGTGTACTTAAAACTTAAAAAAAATTAAATTGTGAAATTTACTTTCGGAGTCTAAAAGCGAACTGTAATTATTTTTTGAGACCAATTTTTTTCATCTATCTCAACTCTTTTGGTCTGTCAGAAGTAATTCCAAAGATTATTGAAAAATATTTATATGATATATAAATATTTATATTGAAAAATATAAAATAAATATATAAAAATAAAAATTGTGTCTGTGAGGCAGACTCAGCACTGAAGATGGCTAAAAACAAATACGAATGACGGACCAAAACAGCTAAATTAATCTTGATCTTCTTTTCCCATAAAAAAATTTACGTAACAAATCTTTATTTATTTAGGTTTATTTATCGTACAGGATTATAAATCTTTATTTGAACAAGAATTTAATTTCATGTTGATTGATATAAATAAATATTTACCAACCTACCAAAGGGACTTACCGTTGCCAAAATAAAAGTTGCGTATTTACAGGGGCTTCTTTTCTCTTAAGACGATCCAAAAACGTTAGGAAAACCTACATATAAAACTGATAATTAACTAGTCTTTTTTGTGAAAAACGTTTTTCGCCTTCTTAATATTACATAAAATTAACTTTCATTAGAACAATGTGGGATAGATTGATTCAGAAAGTGTTCAGGTTTAATTGAATTTTTTCTTTTAAATCTCAAAAATACATCAAATTTTGAAAACAAATATTGAAAAATAACGTTATTCACGGGAGTATAAAAATAATTAAACTCTGAAATCCCAACAAAGAACACAATATGTCCCGATGGTCAATAACGGGTAAAAATTTGATTGAGCTTAGCTGTCCATTTCACTCGTTTTGCAAAAGCCTTTTCGCCGTCCAGACATTTGTTTAATCATTAACAGTATTTATTGGCAACAATTTTGGTCATATTCTAGGGGGGGGGGGAGAAGTTTTTAAATAATTATTGAACTCAATTTTAAAAATAGTTTCTTGAGACATTGAATCTATGATGATTGGTTTTTCATTTATTAGTTGCTCGAGTTGGCCCATCTTTCTCAAAGTTTAAAAAGATAAGGAACATCTTTTACACTTATCTTGATCAAAAAATTGTACGTAGGGTTATAATCAACCAGCCGAAGAGAGATCATACTGAACACGAGTCCGTATTTTACAAGACAATATTTTCCCATTAAAGTCTTGTCCTGTCATATTTTTCCGTTGGGCGTCTGGAATATAACCTTTACGTTTTTAATAAGGGTCTAAATTTTTTTTCTGTTTACTGAATTATGTAAGTTCAACTCTGCTATGAAATAGCTTAAAAAACCCTGTTTTAAATACAGACCTTCAGATTTAGATAACATTCACTCAATTAGTGTAGTGGAGTACTTGACATTCTCTTTTACATAATTATATAACTAGTCTAATTGAAGGTCATCGGTACTCATATTCCACCATTGGCTCCCTCACACTAAATAATCACTTTAGTAAATACGTTCACTCTCAATGTATCCAATATAGAGCACAAAACGAGATATTTATCACTATTACAATAAAACGTCTCTGTTTCCTACAGTAATCAATCAGGGGATCAAATGTTCGCTTCCATACTGGAGTGCAATTTTTAAATCTGGTGGCATTCCTCCGTGTATATGGAGCTAAGGAATTTCACCCTTCCATTTGGTGAGACACATTGAACAACCTCTCTTGACCTCATTCTAGGTTTAGGATTGCAATTAGGTTAGGATGATACCTTTTCTACGATTCAGATCCTATCAGGACCACCTATCGATCGTGCTCTTTATATCAGTTGATTTAAGATGAAACTCCTTCATCTTTTATTTTGGTTGTTATTGAATTCATTGTGTGATGTGGGTATTTCTTGAACTTCACAACCTCTTTCTTTACATTCTACTGCCTAAACGTATTATGTCCAATGCCGGGGCTCCTTTTGAAGTCTTGATGGAACATACGTCAGGTATCTAATTTGTCATTTGTATTTCCTATTTACCTCCCATTCCTCCCTTTTTAAAGTTTACGGGAAAATGGCCTAGAGTTTTGCTGCTGGAACTGTGTTAGTTGGGGTTGGTTTATTTTCCCAAGAGCTGCGATTTAGGAGTAAAAAAGCTTTGAACCTAAAGATAGATTTTACACTGTCAAGAAAGACAAGAAGATAAAAAAAGTGTCACGAGCGGGATTCGAACCCACGACCTTCGGCTAGATACGCCGCTACTCTACCACTTGAGCTATCGTGACTTCGATCCACTCGGACACTGTCTTTCCATCTCAACCCACCTTTTTGTATTTTCTCTCCTTTTTGCCATTTTTCAAATGTCATAAAAACCTTAATTAATTGTAAGATATTAATTGGTCAAGCGGACCACGAAAATTAGTGAATAAATAAGTTAAAATGAAGTATATCATCACTAAAGCTCTCCGTGGCGATTTCATTTATCCCCGAGAATCAAATAGATTTCACATTTGAAAAATGGCAAAAAAGAGGGAAAATTCAAAAGGTGGGGTTGAGATGGGAATTTAGTGTCCGAGTGGATCGAACTCACGATAGCTCATGTGGTAGAGTAGCGGCGTATCTAGCCGAAGGTCGTGGGTTCGAATCCCACTCGTGACACTTTTTTTATCTTCTTGTCTTTCTTGACAGCGTGAAATCTATCTTTAGGTTCAAAGCTTTTTTACTCCTAAATCGCAGCTCTTGGGAAAATAAACCAGCCCCAACAACAATGTTCCAGCAGCAAACATCAATGCCATTTTCCCGTGCTAGTCACTCGAAGTCGAGTGGATAGCTCATGTGGTAGAGTAGCGGCGTATCTAGCCGAAGCGGGGGTTCGAATTCCGCTCGTGACATTGACTTTTTTATCTCAACTAAAAACCTTAATTAACTGTATGATATTAATTGGTCAAGCGGACCACGAAAACTAGTGAAAGACAAGAAGTTTGGATTAGGCTATGGAAGATGAGTGATCATTTGATAATTTTTTGAGAAAGTACCCACAAAATTTCTATGTGTTCCTTACATTGTGGCAGACGACAGTCGGAAAGCCAATACATCGCTATCTCGAAGTTCGAGACTAAATTATAACTCTTGATAATGGGTTCCACCTACCCGCATAATTAAGGTTCTTAGGTAACAATTTTATCGGAAGGCGACGCCAAGCAAGTAGTAAATCAAAGGATCAAATAATAGTTTATTATTTGCTTACTTGTGATTAATGTATATTGTTTACTGCATTATATTTTGTCATAGAAATGATGAATGGTGAGGAGAGTGCAGTGTTCAATCAAGGATTATATATTGTTATCACAAAGATCACCGCTGACTCTTTGACCAAGTGTTACCAATATTTTAATATTTTTGTATGAAACCAATGTGAAAGAACCTTTACAGTTTACCCTTCAAAAATAAAGCACATAAAAGGAAACGTTTTTAATGTAAATCCGCGTATTTCGTGAATATTTTTTGATTTTTATTCTTATCGGTTTGTGGTTTTTTACGGTAGTTTGCGATAAGTTCACAGAGATAATTCAGTTCGATTATTTTTGATATTCTTCTAAATATCATCCAAATTCTAAAAACTTTCTGCAAAACTGTATTGAAACAGATCCCTTTATAAGCTCTATCTAATCTCTCCGTCGGTCTTTTACCCTTGCTCGTCGATCCATCCTGCTGACTGTACCAAACTTGTCCAAAGAAATGTTTTAGTAGTACTCCTTGATACAGGATACGTATTGATCCGATCACCGATAAAGGAATTTTCTGAGACGGCATTTTTGACCTTTTCAACGTTTTTATGTCGAACCTTTATATTACACTGGTTGAATCAAATGACTTCCTAAAACTAAGAATGTCATAAAAGACCGACAAAAGTGATTAACTTTAGAGATTATGTACAGCTGTGTTGACTACAAGGTTAAAAATATTAAGCTCTTTTGAAACATAAAATTTTGAGAATTAATTATCGACATAGCTAATAAAATCATAAAGCACATCAAGTTTAAGATTTTTTACTTATATAACCTTATTTGACGTATAAGTGCAATAACAAAATAGTAATAAAACAAAATTAGTGACGATTGATAACATAAAGATGTTAAACATTTCGAAAAGATTATATGATAAAAGATGTGGATAACAACGGATAATGACCGAAAATGAATCTGATTACTGATTTATGTAAGCTCAAATCTGCACATGCACGTACGTGTATACACACGCGTTCAAAGTTGAGCCTATCATTTCTCGCAGTCCACCGGTAATTCCAGCTTTTGTAATTTGCAATAAATCACCGGTAGGCCTCGATAATCACCCACCGTGGGTATTGGCTGTCCGGAGTCAGACCTCGGTCTTATCCGTCCAGCCACCGAGGTTGGACTCCGGGTGCTGTCAACAGCTAGTTCGTTTCAGCACCCAACGCACGCATTTCCAAACCATTTGTACTCACATAAAATCATAAATACATTCACTCCTATTTACCTAGCATAATTGAGATCGATGGGGGTACTCAACATTCCGCCATTGACCCTTTAACGTCACAAATTCACGCTAATAAATTCATTCACTCTCAACACAAATTATGCATACAATAGAACAACCCTGTTTCCTTCAACGAATCGGATGAAAGGACACTGATACTTGCTGGCGCACTCAAGTATATATATATATAAGNTTTTTTAAGAGGGTTCGCAACAGCTGGGTCATATAAACCCTCAGGGTGCCGGTGTTTTTGAAAAAAAGCCCATTTGTAAGTATGTCGGATTCGAATGCAGGGCCGCTGGATTCGAACCCGGGACCTTTACCTTACAGTGATGAGCGCCGTGTCAAAGACTAAACCTTGCGGCCACCGACGCCCCCCTATGTATAATTCTCGTATAGGGTTGTAAAAGAGCCAAGGAACTGCACGTTCAATTAGGTCGGAAACATGGAGCAACCTTCCTCTGCATGCTTTGGCCCAAAAGTAAGTTCCTTGGTCAACCTCGCATGGACTCTTCTTAATCGTGTGAGGATGACCCCGTTTTTAAGATTCAGATCCGCCGAGGGCCACATCTATCGTCAGTGCTCTTAACACGCGAAATCTTCTCTACCGATCCGGCCCACCGACGCTGCCCTTTCATTCAATCTAGTTTTTTTAATGCATTTTTAGCGTCAGAGTGCCGGATCGAGATGGTTATGTCCTGAGGTTGGGAACGGCTTTTTCGTTTTTCTCCAAAACCCATGTGTACCCAGACAGTAACCACCGTTTTGTCTAAACGCTCCAATTCGTGGTATTTATTTGCAATCGTACTAGTGTGAAGCTAAAGCAAATAAATTAACACCATTTTAACATTAACGCAATATTTTATTATTTTAAATCTTATTATTTACTGTTACACATTTCTTTTCATTATTCATTATTTGTTGTGTTTTACGCCTTATAAGTTGTTATATTTTTATGATTGGAAAAAGGTTTTCATTTGTAATTTTTGAACAGATAGTGGAAGGTCATAACACTTCACTACCTGGCAATTATTATGCATTACTTGGTAAGAAAACATTGGTAAGGACTTAAGGATTTCACAAATCTTAGCACGGTGGCGGCACGTTTCTCCTTAGAAGGAATGTTTAAGTCGTTTTTCAGGTCATTAACATGACGAAGCCTCATATGAGCACGGAATAAGATTAACAGTTCATGTTTCTTTATTACTGAACTGGCATTTGTCTTTCTGAGATTGATATTTGTCGTATGGTAATTTACCGTGGAAGTAACACTAAAGATTGATGGCGCTATTGGTGATTTTTACGAGTAAAAGAAAGAATGAGAAATAATATTTGTGTCGTAATGTTATTTATTATATTTTACAGAAATTTTTTTATTGAAATTTGTATGAAATAAATCATTTAGAAAGGTTTTTTATAACGGTTATATTTTTCTTTGTAGGCTGATTTTAATCTATATGTTGAAAACTGTTGATAGTTGACGGGTATGACCATCACCACACAGCAATATTAATCATTAAATATTTGCGATTTTTGTTATTATTCAATTTATTGTTGTCTTTATTGAATTTTAATTTTCAAAATTTGTGAAGTAACCAATTAGTTGGACTCTTATCATAAAAGTACACTTTCTCCACTAGGGAGGAAATTGCAATATCATTGACGCTTTAGGCGTCTTGGCGAATTTTTTGGAAGGGTCACAGACGAAATGTTTTGGACTAAGGGGTGGAATGAGGGTCCTGGTTTTTATGACGAAGTACGTGCCGACGTTTTGGTGTTTTAAGCAATAAGGATTTGGAGTACTGTGGTTGACAGTGAGGTTGTATGCAAGTAGGAAGATGTACAATAGTTCGAATATTTTGGACTTAATTCTGGTTGAACCTTACAGTTCGATTCCGTACATCTAGATAGATTGTACGTTTTATTATGTTTTATCTTTTATCAAGCGGTCTTTTTCTTATGTAAAGTCCTATATAACGGAGGATATTGATTGTTGGGAGAGGAACAGATTTATACTGTATTAGAGAAGTTATCGGCGCAGGGTAAAGGTTATTTGCTGAGCTTTGATATTGTTGAGTCTATTCCTCTATTTCTTTCTGTTCTTCCAAACATGAGAGATGGTCCTGGATGATTTTGGATGCACATTTCCTGAAGTGATGGCGTTATCGTCTGCAAATTTTGTCAATGGTGTTGCCCAGCGGAACACTCGCTTCGGCATAATGAAATGAGAAGAAGGTTCCGATGTGATCTTTAAGGGACCTATTGTGCACATCAAATTTTAGTATGAGCTAATAAGTTTATGGAAAGTTGCTCTTGAGTTCCCAGAGCAAGCTTGGTTGGAACACTCGATTGGAGGCTGCATCACGTCTAGGAAAACTCCCAAGCAGCATTCTTCCACTCACTGACGTCTACCAACATAAAACCTTTTTCAGAAACATGTTTTTTTTAAAATAAATAATCATTGTTAACTTATTAAATTTTTACACTTTTTGAAGTGTCCCCTCAGGATACTTGACGACTAAGTAGACGTTCTGTTTAACCAAATATTTCCTCTTAAAATCAGGACACCTTTTTATCACCAGCTGTAATGTATCGATTAAAAACCTAATTTTGTTTTAAACCTGTAAATTCAGCTTTTTCTTATCTTATTTTTTTTTTGCAGATTACCCGTCAGAACCGAGCCTTGAGGACATGGAGCTGGTGGCGGCGTCGGCCAATCTCGCCAGCGCAAATTTCTTCCTTCTCGTCCTAGCGACGCTCGGCCTCGCCTGGAACTAATTGCGCACAAGGTGAAGAAGACGTTTCAGAGAAGAAATTAAAAAAAAAAAAATTGAAACCACAAATTCACGACTTATTTTGCAGAAGACGGCTGATTGATTAGATGACCGACCGGCGAGTTACAAACGATGACAACCTAAGACTATAGCGGATTTTAAAATGTACGGACGCTCTTCTTCTCACTTGACCCAAATTTTATTAGAAGAAAATGGATTCTACTTCAAAACGACCTTCACTATCAGGTGTATAAACGTGTTATGTATATACCCTTTTTATGTCGCTAGAGTGTAGTTTTGAGATAAAGTATGTGTTTTAAGATTATGATATTTATTGTATAGCCTGTCTGTTTTGTAAGTTGTTTTTTAATAGAATATTTTGAAAAAAAGTTTTAGTCTTTTTAATATAATTACTTGTAAATAATTATATTAATTTCTATCACTCTAAAGTTTATAAAAATAATTCTAAAAATGTGTGATCTAGATAAATATAAAAAAAAGTACATTTATTTTAAATTAGCTGAATTTGAATGTTAATATCTGTTAATTGACAACACGTAAATTCTGCGTAATAAATGTGAGCAGATTTGCATGTTTTATTAAAGACTATCGCCAATAAATAAAGGTCTAAGTCGTGCAACTTTTTAACTTGAATGAGCTTTCATTGTACAGAACTCGATTAGCGCTATTTTCAAATCTATTTTACAGCTCACTATATTTACCAATAGCCAACACTATCCTTTCTAAACCCATTGAGAAGGGGACGTCCTAATGGTAAAAACTAAAACGGTGTATATAGTTAATGCCAAATTTGTGAATGAATGTAAAAATATTTGAATTTCACGATTTGTTTCTAAATGAAGTTTTAACGATATTAACAGTTAAAGAATTCTCGCCCCTGTTTTAAATCAATTTATTCCTTTCGAATTTAATTCAGATTTTACTATAAATACAGACGTCCAATTTTTTTTAATGTTTCTGCATATTGTAAACTTTATTACTCAAATTAATATAACTTTATTTTGAATTATGTATGTGAACTTAATATTTCTGCAACTAAATACAAGTCGAACTGTCCAAAATAATAAGCAATTATAGAAAAAAATAATATTTAAAAAATCCAAAAAAAATAAATAAATAAATACTATATTTGTGTATTTGGTTTTCTATTGATGTAAATACATAATTAGGATCGTATGCTAGTTTTAAAAATAAAATGTTTATAAAAAAACAACATAAAAATGACTAGGTGTGACTATCCCCTTTTTTAGGTCTTCGCACTGTGTATAAATTGTCCCTTTAAAAAAATGTGAAAAATAAGAAAAGAAACTTCTAGAAAATATCGTATTCGATATAGTTTTATATAAATAAGATAATTTGATTAATTGTGATATATGTGGTTTTTATTGTTAATAACATCATATAAAAAAACCTTTTCGATCCATCCGCCTATTTCTTCGATCCTTGATGTACTTGAAGGCATTCTTTGGGTGTTTAATTTGTATTGAACAATAAATTTGATTTTCTTTAAATAAAAAATAAAACAAGAATCCCGTTTGTAAATACATTACATGATGTTGTCTAAGTATTGTATATGTAAGTATGTTAATAAAACATGATTTGTATAGTAGCGGATCTTTATTTTTATTCTCTTCCCCATACTTAATTTCATGATATACGTACAAATATACGAAGTTTTTCAGAAAGAGACCAAGAAAGAATAGAGAGAGAGAGAGAGAGAGAGACCGACTGACGAAAGCGAATGAAAGAGAAAGAGATAGATAGGTAGAGAGAAACAGAGTGAAAGTGAGAAAGGCAAAGCATGAAATTGAAATTTATTTTTATTTACAAAATATATACAGTATTTACAAAGAAATTAAAAGACTGGCTTCAGACTTCCTGCCTATATACCTGATCTGAAGTAAAAAGAACTAATTTAAACATATCTCAATATTAACATAGAGGGAAAAAAATAAAAAATAAAACAACCCTTACGTTATATAGTTAATTTACAGCTAAATGTGCTTCACTTTTTTGTACTTATATTTTTTGTAAAGTGTCTGCAAGGAGGCAGCTTCATAGTTAACAATATTTCTAATATTAGTGTATTCACTAAGTTCACAAGCTTTGCAAAATCTTGATGTTATACTATGGACTTGTGTAGAGACACTAGTCACCTCCAATACTGAATGCATGTAGTCTATTGGCGTCCACCTGTAAAAGGAACCAATCAGTCTCAAGCATTTGTTCTGCACAACCTGCAACTTCCTGTAGTTGGTGATACATGTATTAGACCAGACAGGAGCCGCATACAACAGCATGGGTCGAATATACAAATAATAAATTAACTTTTTATTAAATATACTCAGATCAGAGTGTCTATTTAACAACGGAAATAAATTGCAGATCAGAGCCACTCCTCTATCGCATACCGTGTTGATGTGCTTGGTGAACGTGAGCTTTGAGTCCAGCATCAAACCGAGATACTTCACTTCTTTTTTTCAATGGAATAGACCTTCCATTTACTCTCACAAAACAATCAACATTCGGCCTTCTGCGAGTGAACAGAATCACCTCTGTTTTTGACTCATTGGGTCTGATCCGCCACCTGTAAAAGTAATTAAATGTTTTCTCAAGAGCTAGTGAGAGATGCCGAGCTATTGTATCTACCGTGAAAGACGAGACCATAAAAGCGGTGTCATCAGCATATAGGGCACACTTTGGCTCGGTTATACCATTAATAAATAAATTGAACAATGTGAGCCCAAGGACAGAGCCTTGGGGTACACCAGTAGCAATTGGCCGAAAGTCAGTGCTTACGAGACACAAAATTTCCTATCTTCCAGTTAACTCCTTATTAAATAAACGATGTATTTGGGAAAGTTATAACTGATTAACTTTAAGACAAGCCCAAGGCAAGGCATAAAAATACACATATAAATCAGCTAGTCGTTATTTCTCTCTCTCTCTCTCTCTCTCTCTCTCTCTCTCTCTCTCTCTCTCTCTCTCTCTCTNCACACACACACACACACACACACACAAAACACACACACACACACACACACACACACACACACACAAAACACACACACAAAACACCCACAACACGCATACTGTTAAGGCGCCATTTCACCAGCTCGTGGAACTTACAAAAATTTAAATAATTGGAATCCGTCTCATCTTCGAAAATCCGCCAGTAAAAACAGACATGTAATTTCAAGATTGAAGCAGATCAAACAAAGGCTTTAGCAAATGCTAGTTCAGCCGCTTTGCCACGCCACCACCCAAATCATAAACACAGCCACGTGTCAGTGGGACGTGTGAAACCGCGCGATTGAAAATTTGTGTCATCAGACGACAGTATTATTATTATTAATTTGATCGTTCCGAACTGTTATTTCATTTCAAATCACTCCGCGCCTTTATCTGAAAACTAATTATTAAACGATAAATTTATTGTTATTTGTTTTCTTGTTAGAGGTTGTAACAGGTTGAGAATTGTGTTAAAACTTCAAATCTGGTGAGAACTTATCATAAAATACGGCCTAAAACAAACATCAACAAAAAATAACTCCACAATAATAAAGTATATTTGTACCTTGTTTACTTATTATAAACATTATCTGACTAAACACACTTTAATCAACATATTCTATATACAAATTTTGAACACGAGAGCTTAGTCTAATAAACAGGATTTTTTTGATAAGTTTGCGTGTTTAGGGCTTTATTGAATTTTTATTTTCCTCGAGGCAGAGGAGGGAGACGTCCTAAACCACGCAGCCCCGAAATCCAACTTAATCATATGCTATAAATGCCGGCTACTTAGATAAAAATCTTTCCCTCCAGGCCCATACTTCATTTCCGAGCCAAGTAGCTGTCAAGCCGGTGAATGTGTCTGAAACGGAAAAGGCAAAATAAAGCTCGGGAACGCTCGACTCTCTCAGTTTGAATCAACAGATTTTCGACCCAATATGAGTCTATTTCTACCGGGTATTTATTATTTCGTGCCCTCTCCTAAAATTTCGGTGCAGATCGATTCCGGCAAACAGCATTTGAGTTCACAAAATGCGGGTTGGTTGACGAAAAAAGTTTGAAACTTTTATGCCGTTGTTCAAAAAGGATCTGTCGGATTGGTATGTCATGTGCCTTTATTGATCAAATAGGCATTTCACTAATAATTATTTTTTGTTTTTCAAAGCCAGTAAACGATAATAATGTTAATAGTACTAACATATTTTTAATTTATTTTACGAAAATTTGAACTTTTAACTATGTATATCAATTTACCAATGAAAAACGACAAAATGTTCCAAAACCCTTAAAAAATAATGCATCAGAAAGTATTTTTTTAAATATAGGCTAAAACTGCTGCATTTGATACCCCCACAAGAGTTTTCTCTGATAGTAATTGACCCACAGCAACTAAAGATTATTAAACGCCAAAACATTGTAGACAGGCAATCCAGGACGACCAAACTACAATTTCATTTCACAATTCTCGAAAAGAAATCATACAATTTAACAAAAAGTTATAAAAGTTCAAGAAGACAGCTGTCGAAAAGCCGAAAGGTCAGGGCGTCCGACTATCGGCCATGCTAGCGGTTCTGGGTTCGAATCTCGGTTCAGCCCGTAGAATTGTTATTGATGATAATATGAAAAAAATGGTAAAGTGGTTTGACCTCCCGTCCTTTTTGTAAGGGTGAAATTACTGATTACTGATTCATACAAGTTCAAATCTGTACACTCATTGTAACTCGCATTAGTAATAAAACAAAATTAGTGACGATTGATAACATAAAGATGTTTAAACATTTCGAAAAGATTATATGATAATAGATGTGGATAATGACGGCATAATGACCCAAAATGAATATGATTACTGATTTATGTAAGGTCAAATCTTCACATGCACGTTCAAAGTTGAGCCTATCACCTCTCGCAGTCGACCGACAATTCCAGCTTTTAATTTACGATAAATCACCGGCATGCCTCGAGAATCACCAAACCCGGGCGTTGCCAGTCCGGGGTAAGATTTCGGTCTTAACCGTCCAGTCGCCGAGTTTGGGCTCCAGAGCCTTTCAACAGTTAGGTCATTTCACCCTCAACACAATCAGTTCCATAGGAATGATAAATGGTGGAGTGAGTGTGGTTTTTTATTTACGCTGCAGCATTAGATATTTGCCCATAAGGACGTTTCGTTTTCCCCCTCCATTGTTTACTGGACTTGATGATGTTGATTCTGAAACAGTTTTAAGCAGTGGCTTGTTGTCTTTATTTGATTCGGGCTCTTTAGGTGAGGTCGGTTCAATCTCCTGCACCTCTGTGATTCTGTTTAAGGATTGACTCTATCTCAACCTCGTTTCACAGCGTCTACGTCCGACTGAA